GAGAATTTTCCCCAATTTGCTCGCTTATATGGAAGAAGAGCCTCACGATTCTGAAAGTTTACGTCTATGATATCGCTGTGGCAGATGTAAACTGCACGGTTCAGGCAAGACTGAGTTCACTTTCATACACAATAAAATTTTGGAAAGCCTCAAGGTGCGTCAATTGGACAATTTAGGGAGCTACGTGTGAGAGAGGCGCTGTGCGATGTACGTCTTTATTGCGGTGATGACAGCATTTACGTCACTGTGGTCACTGTACCGTAGCCATCTTGCACACGAATACGAACATGAACTGTTTCATCTGTTGATGGCCAATTGTGTTGATTTGTTGACTGCCAACTCTGCTTACGTAACATCCTATAAGGCCACTCACACATGGAAACCTCGCAGCTGAATTTTGAAGACATTATAATGATTAAGGATCGTGCGTTATACTCATCTTGCTCAAATAAGATACTGACAACTCATGGGATCAAAATATTGTGTAAAAATTTATTCTAGTAAATAAATTCTTTTTGCATAATTTTTAGTCAGGGTAAATAGATTATTTTCTTCATAGTGAATAGCTGAATTTTTAATCCAATTATTGTTTTCAAAATCTGACTAACTGTCAACCATAACTGCGCAGCGCATCGGGAGGAAAAACATATCCAAAGCTAAAGCAATTACTGACGAAGCTCGGATCCCCGCAGTTTTTAATTTTCCTTCTTATTTGCTTCTGTTGTGATGGGGTTTCAAATTGAAGCCCTGCATTCGGATCGTAAAACTCAGGCGGCAACAAAAATTACAGAATCTAAAAGCAGAAAACTGGCGAGGTTCCTCGATTGGCATCATAATTTGAAACGCTGCATCTTGGAAAAACTCTGCTCATAGAAAATTTATAAAAAAAAATCCGAGAAGCGAATCGTCGGGACTGCCTCGAGCTACGCAAGCTTGTAAGCAATACGGAAGAACCAAGTCGGTTAGGTAAGAACATTTCAGATCCGAAATGCCGTCACGGGAAGAGTGATGCATGTTCCTAGCGCCGTGCTCTGCTCTTGGTATAGAAAGTGTGGGTGTGGTAGAAACAGTCGCAAACTTTGGCTAATCATTGAGAAAATGACCCAACAGCGTCGCCTGCTCGTTATTGGAGCTCGTGCAACGAATTTGCTGGCTGCAACATCGTGTACAAATTTCCTCCGACATCAGTCTGAACATTAGTGCGTGCTGCTGCATTCGATAGCTAACGGACTAAACTTGCTCGCAGTGAAAAATCTGAAGTGAATAAGTCTTATCATCGCAGTACAAAAAATTCAAATTTTTGAATTACAAGCAAAGCACAAATTAAATCAGAGAGACTACTAATGCAAATAGGGATTTGCTTACAATCAATCATATCAGATATTGCAATATCGTACTCGACATTTTCATTACAATTAGTATATGGCTTAGAGCGAAATCGATCTGCCTGAGAACCCGTCCCAAATCGTAGATAGAGTTCCTGTTAACTCGCAGCCTTGCTGTCGTAATATGCGATCGCTCGTACACCGAGACCAGCCTTAAAGTGTTGTAAACACGTACGATATAATATTATATGGAACATTATTTCGGATAGTTGGATCACGCGAAACAGTATTACGTGTCGTTTGATTACACGAAACATTAATTGACGTAGTTGGATAACGCGCTACAGCATTACGGAATGTTTGATTACGTGAAACCGTATGTTGAAAAGTTAGAATGCGTGGATCAACATTTCAAAGAGTTGAATCACGTTGATCACTATTATGGATTGTTCTAATGCGTGAAACATTATTTTGGATAGTTGGAATTCATGCAACATAATTTTTCCAACTAAATTGCGTGGAACTGAATTTCTAAAAGTATAAGGTTGTATGTACCCTTTCACGCTCGTTGTAAATTTATTAATTAATTTGAAGAAAACTCTCACATTCTTTTCTTTGCTGCTGAAGGCAGTGAACACACTCGACCACTGTGTGAAAATTCATTGCCCTCTATATGAAGGTGGTAGAAAATCAAGAGGAAAACATCAGGTATCTATGGCCTCGTACGATGTGGGTGCTGTTAATTCACCATAAGCATTAGACGTAGGAAACATTGACGGCAACAGCTCGACAGCAACGACTATGTGGTGATCATCCCACAGTGCTCACCCATGATTTCATCATTACAATTCCCTAATTTGAATTTCTTTATTTACTCTGGAAGATGTGATCCCAAACATTCACTTTCAACTGGCATAAATCGTAGCCATTATTTACAGTCCCTGATTAATGTAACTCGGGCATTTAAATTCGTTTTTCGACTTCACTGATCTTTCTGTGACATAGAAAGTAATACACTATGCTAAAAAGAGCAGTATAAATACCCATCAAATGCAAAAAGCAGAATAAAGAATGCAACATTTATAAAAGAAAAGACATAGAAAGTAATACACAATGCTAAAAAGAGCAGTATAAACACCCATCAAATGCAAAAAGCAGAATAAAGAATGCAACATTTATCAGAGTAGCGCACTGCATTATCAGACAGCGAAGCCTAATGGTCACAATAACAAGACTGCAAGTCTGTGTCCTGGTGAGAACAACTGCTTGCTAGAACCCTTGTAACAGCGGGGTGTCCATTTGGCTCATATTCCCTCCGATAACAATTTCTTTCCATGATCTAAATTTTATAATTGAGAGAATTTTTGTCATTTCCCATGCGGGAGTTTATTGAAATAGGTACATTTAATTAGTATCAAATTGTTTAAAATATTTAAAGAAGGTTTTCACTTTGGACAGCTTCTGAGTTTAAAATCATGCGTGTGTAATAACGTCGCAGATATATCCGCTAATGCTGCTGCTAATCAGGATGAAAATTCACTGGAACTGCATGTTATCATGTTCTGACTAGATTACTTGAAAGAAAATATTATTGTGTAGTGTTAAAAACTTGTTTTCAATGCAATTTCTGCCAAGAAGTTTAGCAACTGATCTCGATAGCATGAGAGGTCATTGCTCTTTGTTCATTAAGTGGGCGCTATTCGCTGATGTTGACTCTCATTGAAAGATGGAGAGAGAATAAAAAATATTCTTTAGACTTCACTGCAGCAAACAATGACACTCGGCTACAAGCGAGCTGTGCGATCGATGATGGAAACCAAGATTTCAATGCCACGTGCTTACGCGGCGTGGAGCCGCCGTTCGAAGTTCTTGAGAAATCCTACGCTACCGAGAACTGCTGATGCTGCCTTTTTTCTTTTACTGGCATTGGAACTACAAGGTTGAAAATCGACATAGTGTCGCAATACCCACATTGAATTTTTTGACAGGGCGATGTGATTGAGTAGTTTCGCTTGTGGTGATGGCACGAAGGTAGAGAAAAATATTAAGCTAGCGCCGGTGCGGTTAAGCTTTTTTAGCGCAGTTAAGCTTTTTTTGTGGGAAGAGGGCAATGTTGTTGATCTTGTGATGAAAGTTAGTGACCTAATCTAATGCTCATGAAATGCTTAGGTTCAACCAACCAATATTCTCGAACCAACATTCTCGAAAATTCAGTGACACAATATTTAATTATGATTGTTCTGCAGAGTTTGAACTTCGTTCATTTAGACCTTCATGATCATTCAAGATCTATTGAAGTCCTTCTCCCATTAATTGCATCTTAACACCTGATGCATTAAAGCTTACCGATCATTATACCGAGCTTATTGATTGCCAAAGCCAATCTCTAACAACCCAGATACCAAGAAGTAATTATATTTTAGTCCCGAGCGGCATGATTAACCGTGTTTGCGTCAGTGTTAAGTCAAGGCTCGGCACTAATGGACAATGCCTCATTTCCGTCTGTTATTGGACGCTTCGATGTCGCCACAAGAGAGTGAACTTTACCGATCCATTGTTTATGGGTGAAAGAAACACGGGAGGACATCGCCAGCGTCCCACCGACATCCGGGGAACATTCCGAGAAAATGATGATTAATTGAAGGCCATCATTGGCCTACATCATTGAATAAAAAAATTTTAACAATGACCACAGCTGCTTCCATGAAGCCTGGAGGACAAGCCCGCTTATTGGTATTTGAACTGATATTTATGACTCAACAAATTTTTTATGGATGAAACTATTGAGCGTATTGCTTTCATAATTGTGTTTTTTCTTTTAATACGAGTACTTCTTTCCGGGCCAATTTTTCTCGTGAATACGTCCAGAACACACTTAACTGTACGGTGGAGGTATGGAGAACGTTTTTATTCAAAAATAGTTTGATGAATCTGGCATATATAAATGTTGAACAACTCCACAAATTTCGTTATTTTGCTTAAAGATTAGTTCTTCCATTTGTAATTCTTACTTTTTACTGACCACGAACTTTGGATTTAGTTCTAAGTATGAATGCATGGGTACAATATCTCTCTTCTGTAAAAAAGACTGAGAGAACAATGGTTCCACTTCAGCATTTAAACGATTGATAATAATCACGGCAGAAACAGCATTCGACATTTCTCGAGATACCGGCCGATATCGCGTTATCTTAGCGGCATCAGATTGCGATACCGAAAAATTGCATTGCTCTATTTTCTCGGCGTTGCCCAAGACCACCGCTACACACGTCCATTGAGGTCCTCCCTTCTACATAGGCACAATGAAAGCGAAGCTCGCTCTAAAAAGAGACTTTTTGGTCACTCGCTCGGACGCTGATTGCACTTGCGAGCTTTTGTGTGTTCCGTCGTGATGAAACTTGTTCGCTCTCATCGCCGTGCATCGGAAGTGAAATGGACCAAGCGACGAAAAAGTTAAATCTCCATAAATTATATCTGTTTCAATAGCCTGTTCACTTTTTTATTGTACCACCATCCTGCGTTCAGAAGAACATTTCTTAAAAAAAAAAAACATTGTAGCGCGCAATGCCGTCTTTGCAAAAAATATTCTATATTCAAACTTCACCCGTCATGTAGCTGTTCTTCAAAAATAAATACATGCAAAACTTATAAATTAAAATTTGAGGCAAAACTCACCTCACTGTCTCAGGAACACACGCGGCTTCTGCAGACGCGTCAACACTCTCGCTTTCGTCCGCTTGCTTCCGTTTTCTATGTCAAGAGTTTGTTGTTCGGAACGCGCCGCCGGCGACGGAAACGTAGTACGGATACTAAATACAGTCCTCACCTAGTATTCATATTCATTTCATTATATTTTAGAGTTAAAATTTCCTGAGTAAAATCTTGTACAACTCCTTGTATTGCGGAGTAGATGTGCAAATCAAATCTATAAACATCGATCTCAAAATCTTCGTTTGTTTGCATTTACTCTGATATTTCCTTGCCAAAATTAGAAGAATTAATGGATGTTATAAGACAGCCTAATGTTGTACTAGATTGAGTTCTTACTGCTAATTAATTGCAATGAATATCGGTCATTTCAATGACCCCTTAAATTTAAAAGGAAAGACTGGCGTTTCAATTTCACTAAAATAATAATTTATAATTCCAAGCACAATAGTTGTAAAAGAACCACTGTTATTCACATAGGTGGAAAAATGTACAATGGAGGTAGAAAATTAAATACTAAGTTGAACCCAGAGATTATTTTTGATAATTAACTTCATAGAGAGACTTATATTGCTAAGCTTAAATTTTGCACTTAAAATCACGAGCCAGTTTTCACAATAACTTCACGATATAACTTCAGTCAACATTTTGTTCAATTCTTAATCATCCATCTACTCAAATAAATTAATTTATAGAAAAAAAAATTTCTAGTAGTTATGTTAGTCAGGCACTTTCATAATCAACCTACTAACACAGGCAAATAAAAATATGATAGACTTTCAAGATCACTTCCTGCCACCGCATCATTTTGTATGCACAAAAGTTCAACAAGGGAAGGACCGGTGAGGTTTGGTTGACCTGCACTGAGCCAGTAAAGTTCCGTTGGCGTGACGAAGTCGGTGCTGAGAGCCGAGCCTTAGTGCCTGGGTATCCAGAGTGCCAGGGGCGTGGCATGGGGCACGCTCGGGTCAGAGGACGACAGTGCGCATGGCTGCTGCTGCTGTTGCTCCACTGCACTTTCGATTCTCCGACCATCAGGCCGATACGCCGTCAAAGGTTACTTCAAGCCACGTAACGACGCTGAGGTAAGCTGCTTGATCGAACTCCACGTGCAGCCGATGCCAAGAGTTTTCAACCACAGTTTGTTTCACACACCTATGCGAAAGAGTTACTAGCCAATCGCCAGTGTCCTGTTATTTTTCTGCACTTCACTTGACATCCTCAGAGCAATTTACACTCTTTTTCTATTTTCATTATTTCATGTCACGCAAACTCCACGGAGCGAAAAAAATTAAAAAACTAGACCATTTGCTCAAATTCTTTCTAGCAATTTTCTCGTTTATAATTCGAATAAGTCTAAATTCAAGACCACTTTATCATATATCCGGATAATTTATTCAGAATTAAAGCATCTTGGAATCCATTCTCCTTGCTTAATAACTTGTTCCCTTTTTTTCTCGCTTGCCTAGGGGCGAGTGGCCACCAACGTTCTCTGGACGGAGCATAGGCAAGAAATGGCACCGGTCGCCAGGTCTCGCGGCGCAGCAACAACGCAGCGGCGCGAGCGAGATTAGGTCTCCGTGACACGACCACGTGCAATCGAGAGGGCGAATGTGCGGTGGTCTAGATGCGAGGGAGCGACTGCGAGAAGGAGGAGTAGTGGTTCAGTTGATGTTAGCTGTGCCGACCATGTGACCAGACTGCAAGTTGAGGCGAGTGCAGCGGGTCCGAGGGAGTCTTGTCTTGACGCGTGAGTGAGTGTACGGTGGAGGGGGTGTGGCTGACTACCTCTCGTATATACGACGGCGTATACGAGCAACGCTCTCGTGTGTAACAGCGTAAACGCACACCTATCCACCCCTCCACACCCCCCTCTCACAATTTACTCTTACAATTTCACGCAGAATTATTTTCTCCCCTCATTTTGGCTAATGATTCTGATCGTTTTTATTTAATTACTCGAATTCTCACTATATTATATTGGGCCACAAACCAGCATGGTTATCAACAGTCATAAGTTATTCTATTTTCCCTAAAACATCAATGTTCCTCAATATTGTGATATAAATGATGGAAAATTCAATGGCCAGTTATAAAATAATGGATAATTATCTGATCTGCGTTGAGGTTCCTTTTCTACAAGATTTACTATTGCTCGTAACTAAACATGTATTGCAATGAAACTTATGTAAGTTGAATGGAATGTGTGTACGTTGTATGGGCTTCACCAATCCAAATATCCATGTCTAAATAGTGCGAGCTTGAAATTAAATTTGTATGCTAAAGTTGACGTGAGTGCTTAAAATTTTTAATTCGTACTTTCTATGAGAGAAACCAAATTAAAAATTTTATTTTTCAAACAATAAATGCAGTTTCTATACTATCGATAAAAATATATATCCGCTTAATACATAAATTTGTGGCACGTCCCAGCGCTTTAACCATCACAATAGCAACCAACGACTGGTTAAAAAACGTATAAATTCGCTCGGGCCTCAAAATTTCTCTAATCCTAACTTATGCGTGTATTTCGTTCATTTACCAACTAATTTTAAAACCTGCGGCATCGAAGCGTTTCTCATTACTACAAAAAATTTATGAAATATTTACTTTCCTCCTGTAACAAGGCACGTTATGTCTTTCTCAAGCTTTGCACCGTTACGTTCTAAATACCTGCATGCAATTGAGCGTGAAATTCGGAAGATCTTGAAGATAGTCCCCGATCTGCTTCAAGTTTCGTCACCCAGCGCCATCCGCCCTCGCCAAACGCGACACGTCAAAGTATATTACTCATCGCAGAACAAAGACAAATGGGGCAAGTATTAGCTTTTTCTTATAAAAAATAAACTTCCATTGGCCTGACCTGGCACACGCTGTTTAGTCGCTCACTTTCGGTGCATCCCATATAAAAAATGTGTTTAGCGAACCGCCCTTGTAATGGCACGAAGCATCTCGTACTCCCTCAAGGGTTTTGTCACGTCACGCCCTAGAGCGCCTCCTTGTCTGGACGTCGCTGTGTCATCGTCTTAGGAGAGACCGAGTCTGGGAACCTACAGAGTTTTAAACAGCAAAGAAATGCTCAGAGTAGAGTGAGTCATGAAAACTTACGATCCAAGATAAGGTTAAGACATAACAACAAGTAGAATGCTACGTTAAAAAATCCTAAGAACAATTAGGTGAATGAACAATTTTCTCAGAGTCGCAAAAAATAGCTAATGACATCACAGGCATCGTCAAAAATTCTATGAAATTTTTACTGGTGACCTCGCGAAAAATAACCGATCATCAACATGTTAAAAAGCCATTGTGAATAAGAATATTCGGAGCAACATCAGTTTTAATCCTGGCGACCAACAAGAAGTTTTTTCCTTGATAATATGAACTCATTTTTCATAGCTATAGGTACAAATTTTGTTGACGCTAAATTCAATTCCAAAGAAAACTAAACTTTTCCTTAATTTTTTTGCCGTTGACGCTATATTGGCGAGAAACAGAAGTTTTTTTCGCTTACTTTGAACTAATTTAAAATATTGTTTAATATACAATCAACAATCGTAAAATTTTGAGAACTTCATTATAATAAATGTCTTAAATACAAATTTCTACTAAAAATCCATCCTCCATATGCTAATTAAACCATAATTCTTTACTGACATGCCCTCCCTGACTAGAATAATTTGTTGGCGTCGGTAGCCTCCCATTCAGATGAAAAATGAGCTCCTGCAATTATGGAGAGTGCTGCAAATAATGCACCTCACCATACATGCTCCTAATTATTTTAACCTCCAATCCTGATTTTTTATAATGAATGACAGGCAGTAGAAAAAAAATAATTAAATTTGCGTATTCAAGAAATGAAAAATGGTTACCTATTAAGTTGATAGTCACATGAAAACGACGCATTTACCGCGGTTTTGTTAAGTAATAATTCAATTGATGTCAAGCTCCACTATAATAATTAGGGCTCTATATCGATGCCTGCCTTGTCTACTTTGTAGTTCAATTTATACGGTTTAACAATATGAATTGTCAGCTGATGTTCTTAAGTGAACGAATGCAGGTTAAATTCCAAATTTCAATACTAGTGTAGCATTCAAAACGAAAAAATGAGAAACTCTTCTTATAACGACGCTTTATCTGAACTTTTGTTTTTTTTTCTTTCTGCTATCATATCGATTTCAATGAAACTTTTTATGAAGGTGGATGAAGTGGTGGCAATCTTATTCCAAAAAAGCCATAAATTATAAATTTGTGCATTTTCTTCAATGCAAGATACAGTAGATCAAGCGTTGGTCAAAGTGTCATAACTTCTGATCAGTTAGTCCAAGTGTCACAACTTCTGATCAGTTAGTCCAAGTGTCACAACTTCTGATCAGTTAGTCCAAGTGTCACAACTTCTGATCAGTTAGTCCAAGTGTCACAACTTCTGATCAGTTAGTCCAAGTGTCACAACTTCTGATCAGTTAGTGCAAGTGTCACAATTTCTGATCAGTTAGTCCAACTCCAAGTGTCACAACTTCTGATCAGTTAGTCCAACTCCAAGTGTCACAACTTTTGATCAGTTAGTCCAACTCCAAGTGTCACAACTTCTGACCAGTTAGTCCAGCTCCAAGTGTCACAACTTCTGACCAGTTAGTCCAGCTCCAAGTGTCACAACTTCTGACCAGTTAGTCCAGCTCCAAGTGTCACAACTTCTGATCAGTTAGTGTAAGTGTTACAACGTCTGATCAGTTAGTCTACGTGTCACAACTTCTGAAATTTCGACTGAAGGACGTCGGCTGTGGGCGTCGCGCGCTCGAGCGCCACCGAAGAGCCTCGTGTTCACGGCGACCGCCTCACGTACTACGGCTCACTCAGCCAGCCTTGGCCTAGCTACCTAGCGACGAACGTGCGTCTTGCTAGCGTCATGTACACGAATTAACGTAATTGCCAACTTATGTACTGCAATGATAGCATTACGTTAGGTGTGGGTGTCTGGTTATGATCTTACAGAAGTCTTTGTTAGAATATCGTAGTAATAGTTTACCACGACGTCACTGTCAGGTGTCTATTTCTGCGACCAC